TCTCTCTCTCTCTCTCTCTGTGTGTGTGTGTGTGTGTGTGTGTGTGTGTGTGCACGCATGAGCGTCACAATGCGTGTGTATGTGTGTGCGTGGGGGGGGGGTTGTGTGTGACAAAATGGTTGTTGTGAGAATGTGTGCGTGATGTTCTTCAGGTTGGCATCAATGTGGACGAAACAGGGGAGAAAGTAGGCACATTTGCACTAGCATATGCAGCGCATAAAGCGGCATCTCCCATACGATTTCCACCAACAGTTGCACTGACACCAGTTGTTGCAGGATGGCTTGGAAAAAGTCCAAAAGAAAAGGAGGGGGAGGGCCCCTCCAACAAGCCAGACGAGGAATGACTGGCGAGTTTTGAGCCAGAAATCTGTGAATACTGCCCTTTAAACAGGAGTTGAGCTCTCGAGTGTAGCAGAGTGTAGGTGTACAGACAGGCTCGTCCTCTCCTCCGCATTCACCTTGCTGTTCCCTGCTGATGCTGTTTCTGTTGCTGCCACCGCAACTGCTGCTGCTGCTGCTGCTCTTGACGAATGATTGATGATTATGGTAATGATAATGAGGATGCTGCTGCTGATGATGATGGCATCATCATACCTGGACTCTTATGAATGGTCAGAATGTTTCTCTTGAAAAAAAAAAAGAAAAAAAAAAGGAATGGTTTTGCATTATAAGCATTCAGAGCGATACAGGCAATCCCGAACGCGTCTTCGGCGCCGACGAAGAATACACTACACGAGCATTGACCACCAACAAGGGCGCCTTTGGCTCCGGCGAATATGCAATCGCGGGCTCAGCCTCCCTCGATAACGATAATGAGAAGGTCGACAGAGCCGCTGTAGTAGGGGAACTGAAGGGCGAACTTCCCGGCGAAGCAAGTTACTCTGTGTGTGTTGGTGGTTAGTGCACCCACCCACACCGATCGACTTCAGAGAAGACTACTTTATGTATGTATGTATGTATGTAATTATGTAGGTAGCAAGCAGGTTGGGTCACTATGTGATGCAATGGGGGTCCTGTCTTTCTGATCATTTCGTTCCGTCAGACAGGATGTCAGAAGGTCTAATTGTCAAAAAAAAATCTGGTCAGATGGGTTCCTCCCAGTTGTCCAGCATCTGGTCATTATATGGTACAAAATCCGGTAAGTATCTGGTCAACTGGTCAGACTAAGTCCCTCAACCTGGTAAAAACCTGCGACAAAATCTGGTATCTGGTCAGACTAAGGACCAGATCCCACCGGCAAAGAGGATGGTAAAAAGAGTCTGAATCTGGACGTGTTTGTGGAGATGTGCAAAAAATTGTCTGTTGACTTTGTTCTGCTTTTCTGCATCTCTGTGCGGAACACGTCCAGATTCCGCCACTTATTCCAATCCTCTTTGCCAGTGGGATCTGGCCCTAAGTCCCCGAACTTGGTCAAAACCTGCTACAAAATCTGGTAAGCATCTGGTCAACTGGTCAGACTAAGTACCACAACCTGGTCAAAGCCTGCTACAAAATCTGGTAAGTATCTGGTCAACTGGTC